CGCCGCCCCCCGCCAACGGTCCTACACACATACAATATTATACCTAGTTTACATTAAGCCAGTAAAGTAGACATAAGAAAACACAACAGGCCCTGCTTTGGGTACATGCCAGGGCTACTGTCCCACTGTACTGGCTAAGTGTAAATCAGGCATTGTATAGTATAGTATATATAGATACTTTAAAAAGAATTTGTCTTATAATACGCGGCAAATGCGTAAAAGTCGCGCCTAATTCGGGTAGAATATCAGATGACCTTGAGCTGCCGTTTAGGGTCCGTTCACACTGACTGAAGAGACGCAGAGTAGATTTTTATTGCAAATTATGCCTTATGCGATTGAAACAATGTTTAATTTTACCTAATAGGTCGTTATACAAAGTAAAATTAAATCTTATTTCGATTGAATAAGGTTCAATTCTATTTGCAATAAAAATTATTGCTCTACGCTGTTTGTGTAAATGGACCCTAAAGTTTTAAGTAAAATGTTTTAACAACACGGTAAATAATTGAAAAATGACTTTATTTAAGGTTTTTTTGGTATCTAATTGAATTTCATCCGACAGGTACAGCCGGCATCCCGGCACTGCCGAGTGTGCTCAACGACGATCTCTGTCTGTCCGAGTCCGGGAGCGACTCCGACTGACCTCCGCTCACTCACTCACTCACTCATTCACTCTCTCACTCACTCGTTCACTCATTCACGGCTCTACAGATTGTTGACACTCCTTAAAACTTGGCAAATTACATCCATACTTATCGAATTCAAGAGAAATGAGAAATTGTAACCTTTTTGTCGATTGAATCGCGTTTTTCAGTTGGCACGTGGCGTAGTAGATTACGCTTGTTTGTAATGTGCCAACTAAAATGCCGTGTTATATCTACGCAGTCGGATGGATTTTTTTATGAAATTTTAACATTATGTTTTTTTTTAATTAGTATTGTATGAGACTTCGGTTTAAACAACGTTTACAATTTAAATAATACTTAGATTCATCTAAGTAAAAATTATTATCCATTGATCGACTACAACGGAGACAAACTTAAAGAAACCTTATTTTAAAGTTTAATTAAAATTATTTTTACATGCATAACACTGATCTGTATAAGGATAGGTTATTGCGCGGGAATGATAGCTTTTGCTTCGTTCCGATTTAATTTTATCAATGTTAAATGACATTTAATTCGTTGAAATTTGTATTATTAATTCGAATCTTTCATAGGCAGCAGCGACTTCGCCAAAAAGGCGAAAATCATGTTTAAATACTTTACCTTAAATCCTATATACACATCTTACTAATATTATAAATGTGAAAGTTTAGATGGCTGAACGGATTTCGATGAAATTAGGATAATCTGGAAGAACACATAGGTTACTCAGTTTTTTTATCTCGCGCAAACGGAGTCGTGGGCGAAAGCTAGTCTTTAATAAAATTTACAAAAACGTGATATTCTGATAAATTAAGAGTTTTAAATAAAAAAACGTTGCCAAGTTTTAAGGTGTACCAACTTAAGTTACTATGACAAATATAATACTGACATGTCGTTAATAATAAATACGTCATACTAAGTAAAACGTGCCTCAAAAGAATAGAGATATATTTTTTATTTTATGCCAATATTTTTAATGAAAATTAGTCATAAGATTCTATTGTTTGATGAAATAACATATGTATATATATATGAGGAATGAAATCGGCAATATCTAATTATATTAGCAAAACGTATGAAACATGTATATTTTAAAATGTATCTTACTTTTCTTTATATTCGTGTATATTAAATTGGGAATACAAAAACATGACTTAAATAAACTATCGTGAGACATTTTAAGTGAAAATCAAAGACAACTCAACTAACGTTATATCCACCGGTGACGGCACCAACTAGTTCCGGACCTTTCGGAGGTCCTTCAGTGCAAGGCGGGACGTGAGCACGAACATACCTAATACTCGCAGTAAAAATGGACCCACGAATGGTCTGAACTAGTTGGTGCTGTCACCGGAGGATAAAACGTGGGTTTTTTATATGAGATGGCAAATAAGCGGCCTGAATCTACCGAAATGGAAAGCGATGCCCATAAACATCCGCAATTTCAGATGCGTTGCCTACCCTTAATTGACGGAGGAGAAGACGCATATAAAGGACATTTTCCCTTCCTATGCGTCTCCGCCGTCAAATCCACTTTTCCTACCCATCCTTTCCTATTAAGAAAAGGGTGAAAAGGAAAAGGACTAAAATTAGGCCTCGGGCACTACACTCATTAGACGAAACGCGGAATTGTTTCCACCTCACGCCTGTTTTCTGTGTGGTCGTGGTATTACACCGGGCGTGCCGGTCCTGCAGTGCGAAGATATTAAAGCAGGCTCTACCACTCTAAAACTTTTAGTTGAGCCGTCTTTAATTTCCGCTTAATAAACATAACTTACATTAACATATGTAATTTACAAGTCACTATAAAACACAACAAATAAAAAAACTTACGACGCCTTTCCGACTTTAATTGGATAAAGTGTCGTTAATTATAAAATACTTGATTTATAAAAAAAATAATTGAGCAATTTATATTGATATATGTTTTAATATTACAGTGTTACACGACATTCAATAAATAGTTATTTTTAATAGCTTGTTAACTGTATTAATTTGACATTAAATTACTATTAAATGATTTCGAAATATAGTTAACTCCTATAATACGGTACGCTTTTTCCGCGTTTTATGTTTATAACTTACGAAATACGGGGCTAAGAATTACATACGCCCTGGGAGATTTTTACAACCCCGCCCAATTTATCCATGTTTAAAGTTCTTAATATATGTGAGACTGTAAATTGCTGACTGGAAATCCCTTTCTATCTAAAGCCCTGGTCACCCTATGCATATAAAAAGATTCACGTTTAACTATTCCCGTTATAAGGGGTTTTAATTTAATGTTAAGGAAGAAAACGATATGTGTGTTTAATTAAAATTATACCAAGAACCTTACTTAATATTATAAATGCGAAAGTTTGTATGGATGGAGGTATTTTAGAGTTTGTAGCCTGAACTATTGTATGTATCTCGATGTACTTTGGCATTTGTAAAGAATAGCTGGAAGAACATATACTTACTTATTTTTTTATAACGCACGGACGAAGTCGCGGGCGAATGTTAGTACTTTATATGTAAAGCTTATAAAAAATCATCTGTGTTTATTTACATGTTAGAAATTTGGAAAATTCTCGCGTTATCTGGGTATAGCTGTGTTATATAAGGGATCGAAATTGCGTTATAAGAGTACCGTGTTATAGGGAGATTACTGTATACTTATTAGTGTGACCAAAAATATACCACCTGTCTTGAGGGCGCCACAATCGCCTTTGATATTGCAATACTACGTCAACGTCAAGAACTAACTTTAGCCATTTAAAAGTAAAATCTAATTTAGACTTATTTTACGGTAATTTTATCAGCATTATCTTTTTAATAAAATTATATTTGCCGTTACAATAAAATTAGTTGTCGGTTTCCGCAATATGACGTTATATTCTATTTTCCTGGTCAGAGTATAGTTGTAATAACCTTAATTTTATATTTATTTTAATTGTCACATTCGTACATACAGACCGACAAGTTATGTAAAACCTGCAAAAGTGAAATTTAGTTCTGGCTCAGGTGACATTTTCTATGTCCATGTAGGTCTTACATAATTTCTCATAGAACTAACGCCTCTCTTACCAGTCTAGATATTGTTATTTGTCTACATAGTTTTTTTTTCAACTAAATTTTCAATAAGGCCAGGGTAATGGTCAGGGTTGCCTCATTGTAATTTGGTAGAAATGTAACTCGTTGACATCCCTATTTCAGATAAACGTATGTACAAGAATGTTTGCAGATATGTTATTGCTTCATATGTCTATACAAAATGATATACTTGAGATTACAAATGTTACGGAGTTGAGCGGACATGAATTGTGCCTTTGAAACTATAGAGCAAATTGTATATGCAGTTTACATTTTATTGTATGAACATATTATAAAACTCATATCAAACGATTTCTTGTGTTTTTATACCCCAAAATTTAATCATATTTAAAATTACTGACTACAAGACTATCGGATCACAAAAAGAATTTTTTAAATATCGAATGGAAAAAATAATGGTAAACTTACATTTTTTTTTATTTTTTGGTGAAGATAACCTAAATATGTAGTTCTAATTTTCTTGAAGTAAGTGAGAAAAAAGTTACTAATAGCTACATCGTGAAGTAAATTTCATTCCGCGTTTCATTTAAAGTGTCCAGGGAGCCTAATTTTAATCCTCTTTGCGTTCCCCAACGTACACGGAGAGGATGGGAAGGGGACGCATAAGGGGAAATGTCCTCTTTCTATAGGATCCCTCTGTTAAACAACGCATCTCCAAATGTGGAACTCTATGTGCAGCGAACACTTCTCCGACAAAACAAAAATGAAAAAAACGCTTAATCGAATTTGTTTTAAAGCAAAATATATTTCGGTATGTTTTGCTGTTACCGGAATTTAATAAACGGTGGAACGTCATATTGAATACATGTTGCACATAACAATGGTTTTTTGTCTAAAATTAATCGAAAATCTGTCATTTTACTAAATGGAGAAAATATTTTGAGTTTGTGCCGGAAAAAAGATTATATTATCAATTCTAGTCTACCTATACACGAATTATAGTCAGTGTATCGTATTTATGGTTGTACCAATTAGTTTCGAGTTTACATATCCTGTGCAGTATGATAAGATTGGTTGAAGGTCCTTACCTTCCTTCACATTTCATATTCCTATGGAAAGCTTACAAAAATACTAAAGTGTTTCAAGGTAAAGTAAGCCATAGCGTTTTATGTGTTCCGTACAATTATCATTTGAAAACATAACTATTGTAACTGGTTATTCGAACTAACGAACCCTACGGAGAACTTATAAGGGCGGTCAGTGATAAAATCGACAAGTTCGCAAAATGCATCGTTCACGGACTGTGCGCCAGGTAAACTATTCACTTTTCGTTGTGTTTATACTAATATTATAAAGAGGAATGATTTAGATTGTTACATTTTTGTATATATAGGAATAACTCAAAAATTACTGGACGGATTACAAAAAATCTTGCATCATTGAATCATTGAGTAATATAGGCTACATTTTTATTATTTCTTAATATCACGGGGGTGAGTCGCGACAGCTAGTTATATGGCAAGGGAAATGATTTTATACAAGTGTGTTTACAGTGGTAACCCACAGAAATAATACATGAAAAAAATTCTCATATTCCCTTGTCCCCACGGAGGGTCGTCACAGTATGTGCTGCTCTTCAATATATCTATGAGCCGTCATATCTGCATCCCTTCCTAAGCATAACCTCTTTCACATAATACATCCATACTCTCGGTCTTCCTCTACCTTTGTAGCCATCCACATTCAGTCTTAACACTTTGTCTCTATTGTGATCATCTCGTCGCATAAAATGTTTATACCAACTTGAGCAAATGTGCAAGACGTTATTGTTTTTGGATCGTTTCGTTGAATTTACATATTAAATACATTACTTACCGAGTAATGTTTTCACGATATTTTTCTGTTATTTTATTTTACTTTAGGTTTTACTTTTAATTTATTACTTATAAAGACTAGCGACTTTGAAACATAGTTTTAATGGATAAAATAATAGGAATAGAGACACTACAACTTATATCCTTTCTATCTATGTATTTAACTACAAGTATTTTTTTAATTTTCCTTTTGCATTGTGATTGTTAAATTGACATGTGGGATTTAGTCCTTATGCTATAAAATATCTTGCCTTTTGTATTTCAGTTATTCATTTTAAGTGGCCTCACAATATGCAGTATATCGGATGGTTTTATTTTCGGACAAATGTCAGGAATGGTGGACGATTTGCGCGGGAAAGAAAACGGACTATCGCTGAATGATGACGATGTATCATGGATAGGTAATTTAAGGGCAATAATTAAGTTAAAAACGTCGCTTCTGCATGCTTGTACTATCAAGATTGAAAGTCGCTGTTCCTTTTTTTATTTAAATCAGTAATTAGCATTTAAATTATATCTTTGTTAAAAATACATCTTTTTCTTTTACTGCTTTTTTCGTTTAACATAAATAGTTAAATCTTTGTTTATGCAAATGTTTTTTTTTATTTCAGCTTCAACTGTCAATGCAACATGCATTGTAGGTTTTATGTTAGCGGGAGTGGTAACGGAAAAAGTTGGGAGACGCCGAGCCATCGCGTTCCTCAGTGTGCCCATGATTTTGACATGGATTATGGTGTACTTTGCAAGTAATTTCGCGACTTTTATCGCATCAAGAGTAATCTTGGGCATCAGCTATGGAGGCGTGATTCTATTAACTTACGTAACGACTGCAGAATACACGACAATAAAACAAAGAGCCGTCTTTTTAACTATTGTAACGGCTGTTGGTCCTTCGGTAGGTACATCTGTAGGTCATATATTATCTATTCTAATGCATTGGAGAACCGTTGCATTAATAGGCATCATTCCCACTGCATTATCGACCATATTACCTTTGTTTTGGGTGGAAAGTCCATCGTGGTTAGCCTCCAGGGGACGGTTTGACGAATGTGTGACTGCATACAGAGAACTTCATGGTCGCAAAGAGGTTACTGAAGTAGAATTGAGATTACTTGTTAATTTCGAGAAAACAAAGCAAAATGATTTTACACCGAACAAAACATTCTACTTGTCAGTATTGGAGAAAATAACATCGGCGTTTAAGCATTTATATTTTTGGAAGATTACTTTGCTTGTAGCAGTTATATGTGTGTATAGAGTGGCGGGAGGCAGGGTATTGTACAACACTTTAGCAATTACTATGTTACAAGAAATAACTGGGAATCCCAACATTTTATTATTTACTTTACTGGTCGATGGATTTATTGTAACCGGGTCTATTTTACCTTTGTATCTCTTTAGAAAAATGAAGACGAGAACCCTTTTATTTTCATTTGGGTTAACTTCTAATTTCGCGCTAATAGTGTTGAGTGCATGCCTTTATTATATTCCAAGAGATAATGTGTATTTCGCATGGGTTTGTTCCTCTCTTCTAGCGTTTTATTTCATAATAGCATATGCTGGTCCTTACGCAGTGCTAGAATTATTGCTCGCCGAACTTTATCCACTCGAACTTAAATCTTTTTGTACTTTTTTCTTCGGTACATTTGCTGGTTTTGCAACATTTCTAAGTGTGAAATTAGCTCCTAGAATGTTTGCCTGTATGGGTTATCATGGAGTGTTTTTATTAAATTCTTCAATTGTATTTTTATGTTTGGGATATCTATGGTTTTATCTACCGGAAACAAAGGGTAGAACTTTGCAGGAAATAGAGTTGTATTTTAGAAATGGTGAATTTGATAATGAGACAGATTTGAAAATAGAACAAAATGAATGTGATGATCTTGTAGCTTAACCGTTTTTTTTTATATAATGAAAGTGGCAAACGAGCGGCAACATCACCGAGGGGTTCAACGACGCCCATGGACATCCGTAACACCACAGGAACTACAGATAAGTTGCTGGCCGTTGAGGAAGTGATAGGCTCGCTTCTTGTAGGACCCTAAGTCGTATTGGTTTAGAAATACAGCCGAGGACAGACCGTTCCACAATGCGGCTGTGCGGGGCAGAAAGGTATTATGCTTCTTTGTAATTCATTTTGAAATTATTAGCGTATATAGCGTTAGAGCGTATTGTAAGCGAAGTGTTAAAACAAGCATACAAACACTCGAAAACCATTATCCTGTTTACCAGTCGGGTAATGATAATATAACCAGATTTTAGCTATCAACAAGTTATGTAAAGAAACACCTAAATTTAGTTCGCTCTTTGCAAAAAAAATATATTCTTGTTCTTTTACGATGTTTACAAAATATTGGTACACGATACTTTTTTGTCTAAACGTTACGAATCAATTTGTTTAAGTTTGAACATTGTATCTCTATTACACGGATAAGGTAAATTTATAGCGGAAGAGGAAACGAGCAAACTGTCATTTGTTCGGTAATTTGCGAAATGACCTTGACATCTGCAAGATCCTTTAACGTAACAGAAGCGATATTCAAGTTTGCAAGATAGGAATATGAAGGATATACCATATTGGTAAAAGGCGGGATTCAAACCGAGGACTTGCAGATTACAAGTCAATTGGTTAACTCCTGAGCCACCGACATTCTATTATTATAATTTCAGTGGCAATTCGATTGATTTTTTTGTTTACCACCTTTTGTATAATAACCAAGGGCGTAATGAAACAAACAAATACATTATGTTTAATTTAATATAAAAAATAAACCAATTAATAAGTCATTATCTCTACGTAACTTACATGTTTAAATTAATTCTGAGTCTTCAAAGTAATCCTGCAACTTGTTCATTATTAATTTCTTCTATGGAATGAAATTTATTTTGTTTAAAGAAGTATTCTATTTCTTGTAGCGTCCTACCTTTTGTCTCTGGCATAAAGTACCAAAGGTAGCCGAGACAAAAGAATACTATTAAAGCGTTTAAAAGAAAAACTCCGTCGTAACCGATTGTAGCAAACATTAATGGCGCTAAGAAAACTGCCAGAAATGACGCAATACTGATAACGAAACTCAAAAACAAAACACAATATAACTTAATATCTAGGGGAAATATCTCAGCCAAGTACGGGTCTAACACGGCGTATGGTCCCGTTAACACAGCTATGAAGTAAAAAGCCAAGAGAGATATAACTGTCCAAACATAATTTGTACTCCCCGAAGGTATAAAATGTACACATGCACTCATAACTATTAATATGACATTTCCTAATAAACCCAACGAAAATATAAGTGGTCTCATTTTCATCGCGCTCAAAGAAAATAATGAAAATACAGAACCTAAAATGAAAAAGCCGTCTACGTAAAGAGTAAATACAAGAATATCAGAACTCCCAGTTAATTCTTGAAGCATGGTTATAGCCAATGTACTGAACATCAATTTCCCGGCCGCGATACGGTAAATATTAATAACTGCACCTAACACCATTATCTTCCAGAAATATCTTTCTTTCATTGCTGTTTTCAATTTCTGTACAATAACAGAAAAGTTCCGTTTGTTTCCTGACATTTCATTTCGTTTTTTCCTTTCAGTTTCTATTAGTAGTCTTAATTGTGCTTCAGATGCGTTACTTTCACCAAATATTTTTCTAAATGCCGTTTTGCATTCCTCGTATCTGCCCTGATTTGCTAACCACGAGGGACTTTCAACCCAAAACAGAGGTACTATGGCCGATAATCCCGTAGGAATTAAACCTATTAGTGCGACCGTTCTCCAATGTAACAAAAGGCATAGAACATGACCCAAAACAGTACCAACAGATGGACCTGTAGCTGATATTAAATTAATATAAAAAGCTCTTTTATTAGGAGTCATATATTCGGCCATGGCTACGTAGGACAACATCAGCACACCTCCATAGCAAACGCCCACAATAACTCTAGACGTAACAATTGTTGCCATATCATTTCCTAAATACAACATGATGTAGCTGATAAGAACTGGTAGGCTGAGCATTGAAATCGTTTGTCTTCTGCCGAATTTTTCACTCAATACAGCTACTACACCAAATCCCAAGATGCACGTTGCATTGATTATAGAAGCTGAAAAAGAAGTAATGTTTTAGAAGATGAGCTTCTAAATTAATCATACAAGGAATTATAGCCGTTATTAAGACTCAAGCGATCAACGTTGGCGATCGTAGTTTCCACACAAATAGACGTTCGCCGTACACTGTACATGGGCCGCAGTTTGTACTTCGTGCTTGTACAACCCGCGTAATAACAACCACATGAAGCTGTACCAGATGTTTGGCCGTTTTTAGATTTTAATTAGTATTTTTTAGCTATTTATACGGATTATGGTACGGTTTTGAAATCGTGTTTACGCAACACCCGAGAGTGGACAGGAATTGCGAGTGCCGCCCAACTGTTTGGCCTCGCAAAAGTTAGTGTCAGGAGCACTGACCGCCAACCTACGCTAGTCGGAGAGGCACCTTAAGAAGAAGAAGAAGAAGATGGCATACTTGAATATACTTGTTTTGTGGCATTAAAATTTAAGATATTAAAACTGTGTAAGGCAAGTAATTTAACATTATAGTAATGTATCAATTAATGAAAATGTTTATTTACCTATTAAAGAAACATCAGCATCATTTAATGTAATTTCACTTTCTTTCCCGCGTAAATCGTCCACCATGCCTGACATCTGGCCAAAGATAAATCCATCCGATATGCTACATAATATCAGTCCAATTATGACGAGTATCTGAAATAAAAATGATTACATTTAAATTAAATTTACTTATAATCGAATTCAATTGCAATATTTACACATTTTACTGGCTGGTTATTTCAACTATTGTCTATGAATTTATGTAGAATTAAAATTAATTATAGAAATATGTCTGTTTTTAATTAGTCTGTGATTATAGGCATATCAAGATAAAAGTGGTTAAGGTGATTTTGTTATGAGTTATATATTTTATTGAATTCCACTAGAAATCATTCAAATATCGATAAATAGAATAATAAAGAAATAAAAAAATACCTGGCGCAGTGATTCTGAACGCAACATTGTGTAAAATGATTAAAAAACATTTTATTCGCCTTTGCTTAGTAATGCCTATCTAGCAACCGTGACAACATTTGTTATTGTAATCTATAAGCTGTACTTGTTAAATTACTTACGACAAACAAAAAAAAAACTGTTTTACATTTATATATCTGGTTAGCGGATATTACGTTAAGACAATAAATAAGGCAATTTAATGAATTACTAAGCCTAAACAATTATGTTCCGGTAAAAAAAGCTATGCCTTTCTGTATACAGGATGTAATATTTGTCGCCTCCCTCTATACAAAGTAGTTGAAACATAGATTTTTTACTATAAAGCACTTTTGTTTTCAATAAGTGTCATTGATTTAAAAAAAAACTTATCCAATCTTATAATATAAATGATAAAGTTTAGACTTTTAATGGATGGATGGATGTTAGTTACTTTGGGTCTCGATAAAATTTGGCATAGTGAAATATAGTCTGGAATAACACTTATGCTACTAATTAAATTAATTTTTAATTCCTCGCGGTCAGAGTCGCGGCCGACAGCTAGATTTCCAATTTCCTGATTTCTGGAGAAGCAACAAAAATACCACCTGTATATAAAACTAACAATACTTTTTTTCTAGTTATTGCTTAATTGTTTTATGAAATAGAGTTAATTAAAATAATTAAAAAAATATTAGATAGAGACATCTGTGATATTATTATGAAAATAAACATCTAAGTATTTTTCAAGCGTTTCGGAGGTCGGAAACCGCGGTTAGAGTTTTTTTATATGAACATAAACATAGATGGTGCTAATAGCTTCGAAATGTTACGTTTGATGGAAAGAAAACAAATTCTTACTCAACTTAACAAAAAAGATTTCATCCAGTTTACTTTTTTCATACTAAAAACTAAAAGAATAAACGTAATTAACATTTTCTGTAATTGAAAAGTACGATCTTAAAGTGACGAAATTCACGATATGTCGACGACACAAAAACCTTCGTAGTACTCTTTTATGCGTGTTGTGGAAAGTTTCCCTGTTCGTACATTGTTGAATTATTGTAGTTTTATGTTTTACAATAAAACAATCGTTAATACTAAACAGGGATCGTAAAAAAACAAGAATAAAGTAGTAATTGTACCACTTGTAAGCCGATTGGTCGACAGAAACGCTGTTTTTGCACAAGTGACGAATTTTTTTTATGTGGCGTGCAAGCAAATCAAGACAGGAAAATGAGTAAACTGACAAAAAAGACATTTTATTTTCACACATCCCCTCATCTGTCAGAAAAGGATGGGAAGGGTAAGAGAAATAGAATTAGACCTCCACCATCGCAGATAGTTTAATTTTTCCGTAATCATCATTGTCAGCGTAAGGTCGTCCACTGCTTATCGTTGGCCTCCCCCATCGATTGTCAATGCCAGGTCCTGTACCGTTGCTTGTTTAATAGTCTACAATTTGGAATGAAAAATTAAACGATGGTTTTATTATGTAAAGTATTGCATTGGTCCAGCTAGAGCTAGACTATTTAGATTAGAAATGGTCGTATAATAGAAAATTATAGTTCCGAGTCTGTTATCACCCAAGGCCTGTGGCGGCGATATCGAATTTAGCAAGTGTGCATATTTTTTTGCTTCATTACTTTTCTATTGTAGGTTATGAAATTAACTATTAGAATATAACTATGGATAAATGAAGTAAATACTGTTATTGAGTTGTTAGGGTTACAAGCGAAGATAATTAAATAATTAATTACTCGTACGTACTTCTTTTTAATTTGCATTTTAATTAGAGGTTATTTACATAATTGGACATTTTTACACAATTTTAAAATACTTATGCCTAATAACTATAAACAATAGTATTGATATTAGAAATTAGCAGATATTGTAAATTAATAAATCAAATTATTTTAATTAAGGCCATAATTAATTTGATTGAAAGTATTATAATATTCAAGATTTATTTCGGCCCTTGTTAACCTGCGAACGTATTTCTGTGCAGAACGGTTCTGCCAGTAAAGCTGGCTTCCTTCAGTATTAACACTTAACTTCAGTGCTTAGCTTTGTAACCAGCTACTGTAATTACATAAAATGTGTTCAATACCGTATCGTGCGAAATTGCGAACCGCCATAATGTTTGGCCGCCAGTTTCTAGGACACACTCGAAAATTATGCAGAATGATAAAGATCTCGGAAATTTTAATAATAAAAGCGTAAATGTGAAAAAAAATGTATTCACTTCTTCATGCTTATTATGAATGTCTAATTAAATAACTATTTCGTTCCGAAAATTACCGATCTGGTGTGTAGAATTCATAGATTAACGTTTTTTTTCAGTCAATAGTTGTACTTAAAGTGTTTTTGACATAATATTTGTACTAATTGTACTAGTTACGTGATAACCACTCAAATAAAGGTTTAATAGAAATTTAAAAACAATAAAACAATGTCATGATATAATTGATAAGTTCCAAAATGCACACAATTATTATAATAGAAGAGATTATTGTTTTTGAACGTCTGAGGTCATAGTAATCCTGCTTGTTCGTTGGGTTGCGAATCATAAAATTTACCCTGTTTAAAGAATAACTCTATTTCTTGTAACGTTCTACCTTTTGTTTCTGGTAAATTATACCATAAGTACAATAGACAAATAAACGATATTGTAGCATTTAGTAGGAAGACACCAGCGTACCCAATGGTTGCAAACATAATCGGCGCTAAGTATATACTAAGGAACGCTATATTGGCTATTAAAAAACTAGCAAATAACATACAAAATAACTTCACATCAAGTGGAAAGACTTCAGATAGTAAAACGTCTATGATAGCGAATGGTCCCGTGTAGGCTAGTATAAAATAAAAAGCTAAAAGAGTAATACTTATCCAAGAATAATACGCGTTAACTTTAGGTATAAAATATAAACATGCACTCAAAACTATCAACGTTGTATTTGATATAAAGCCAAGGGAAAACAAAAGTGGTCTCATTTTCATTTTATTTAAAGCAAAGAACGAAAGTATGTTGCCCAAAACGATAAAGCCATCAACTATTAAGGTGAATATCAAAATGTTAGAAGTACCAGTGATTTCTTGCAGCATTGTAATCGCTAAAGTACTGAACATTAACTTGCCCGCAGATATTCTATATATACTAATTATAATCGCCAATAAAAGCACTTTCCAAAAGTATTTTTTCTTCATAGATTGTCTCAACTTGGCTATTGTTTTACCTAAGTTATGACCCGCTTTAACTTTGCTTTGGGATTTCCTTTCGGTGTCTACTAATAATTGAAGCTCTTCTTCAGCTTCTTTGCCTGTTCCATGTATCGATCTGAACGCTTCTTTACATTCCTCAAATCTGCCCTGACTAGCGAGCCATGATGGACTTTTAATCCAGAACATTGGTAAGACGGCGGACAAACCAGTTGGTATTAATCCAATTAATGCCACCGTTCTCCAATGTAATAAAATACTTAAAACATGCCCCAACATCGTTCCCAGCGATGGTCCTATAGACGAGATGTAATTAACACATATGGCCCTTTTGTTTGGGTTTGTATACTCGGCCATAGTTACTATTGTCAATACGAGAATGCCTCCATAGCTGACGCCAACGATAATTCTGGATATAAAGAAAATCGTTTTCTCCTTCCCAAAATACACCATGATGTAGCTGATGAGAACTGGTACAGTGAGGATTGTGATGGTATGTCTCCGATCAATCTTCTCTCCGAGAATGGCCACCACACCGAAGCCGAAAATGCATGTAACGTTGATTAATGACGCTGAAACAATATTTAAACTACGTAAGTTTCAGCATTTCAATATGATACTAACTACGAGTAAAAATCTTAACGTTAATATTCACATACTAGCGGCCGCCTGCGGCTTTGTTTGAGCGGAATTAGAATAAAAGAGATCGTCTATAATATTGGGACTATTCACATGCATCAGCTATATTCCCATTAGTCCAGTCAAAATCGATATTGCCATTTTGAAGCCCAGAACTGAGGTGGATTGCGGCCAAACAAAAAAATTTTTAAGTCGCATTTCTGTTTTCAAGGCAGTTTCGCAAAATCTGTCTTTTATTATATTATTTACACTCCAATTTTTTTAACTGTTACAGAAGATGGGTTAATTTTGGTCCACAGCCAAAATGAAAAATTGCAAATTGCTATTAAGTTGATGATTCTTTACCTATTAATGACACGTCGTTATCACTGAGCACTATTCCATCTTCTTTTTCGAGCAAAGCATCCACCATACCTGACATTTGACCGAAAATGAATCCATCCGAAAAGCTGCATAATGTCAAACTGCCTATAATGAATATCTGAAATAAAATAAAAAAGTTAAGAAAAAAATTGAAAATTGGACAAGCAGGTGCTTAGATACACAGTAGCGTAAATACACAAAAAAAATGAATAGAGAACAAACATCCTTTTGAAAATATTCAGACACACATAATTATAATAGAGATAAAGCTAGAGCTTAAAAACTATAAAACAAAAATTGTTTTTATTTTTTAAATATAAAGTCCTACCTGTCGTAGTGTTTCTATTCGTGTCATTTTTACAATTAACGTAGCATTCAATGTTTCAAGTCTTTTTAAATTAAAATTAACAAGATAATCACATAATTTGCACTCATTGCATTCATTCAGATTAAGGTAAAATGACCAGTAATGGACTTATACTAAATATTTTATGACTTTAAGTTTGTGAAGTTAATCTCGTATTTTCTTTATAAATAAAAGCGAGTAATTAGATAATTTTGCAAATATCTTTAATTGTTTAGATGGAATTTTTTAAAGGTCAAATTGCGTAATTAAAAATCAATATTTGCATGGTTGATTATGGTTATGCGTTCCTAAAACCAAAGAAGATGGCGACGAAACCTTAGTACGATCGTCAAATGTTTGAGTGGCTTTAATTTCAAAGAATTTGTTTTGATATTTTTCAGACTTAAAAGAGAATCACGTAGTCGAATTTTATTTAGTACTTTTTGCATATATGTACAGTTACTGGTTCGTTCTCCTTCATTTTGATATTATCTAGCAATCGTAACTTATGCCCATTTGCATTTATAATTCTAACGTATATCCACGTCACTTTGTATTGTAAATGCGCAATTTTTATCATTTTTTATTACTTCTTAACGACTAAACTACTGAATCTGTATAAATTTTGTAATATCAACAGGTAACAATCTTGGGTGATATTTCAGTTTTTATTTTTCTTGATGGCTCTTCGCAGAACATAATTTCAGGTGTAACAAGGCGTAGCGGGATGCGAGAAGAGGGCACTGTGCAACGTACCGATGACCTTAGTACCCAAAATATTATATGAGAAGCGTAATATCTTCTGTTTTCGGATGCAATCGTTTTGGCAAGAGGACAACAAATGTGGTGTAATGTATAATATATATAGAGAACGATATGTAGCAAATCATAAGAATTTTATTCTTATGGCTAAAAGCTATCTATCGATATCCTTATTGCCACTGCAATATAATAATGCGTGAATCAAAAACAGACCATAATGTGCATGCAATTCACGTGCAACATGTGAATTCGAGACCAATGACTTTCGTGTCCACGACTGGTCACCCGTTTTCTGTAGAGTTTTTAATTAGTAGTTCAAAAAATAAATTATAAAATGATGCATGCATATTTTTTTCGGATTCAAGTATAACGGCACGAATTTGCCACAAAGACAACTTAGTTACTTAAATTGTATTTTACATGTTTCAAAAGAAAACCATTTTTAACTTTATTCTGGCTAGAGACAAACCTTTATGCCTAAATTGAAGAACTTTTCTGAATGGAAGTGAAAATGTTTATTTTCAGTAATCTGTTGGAATGGATAGGCAATTGTTAGGAAATAATGCCTTTTGCTTCGTTACCATGTAAAGCGCCTTTTGATCTTAATTACAGTTCAGTTTATAACTAAAAATTAATTTTATAGTTCGAAAACTCTTCAAAGCGACCATCAGTGTCAACCTGGAGAAAATCAAATAGACGTAAAATACCGCTGTTTATAGCCTGTCCATTTATAGAGGTCAGTGGATAATTTGTTTTCGTATCTTTTATTAACCTATTTTACCCTCTTCCCAAAAGAAGGAGGGTATCTTAAATTTGTCTGTATGTTTATTTTATTTTATTTTGAATTGCAACATTTTCAATGTGTCAGATGACAGTCTCGACTTTGACATATTTTTTTGCTCTTTGATGGCTCTTTGTCGTTGATCATGACGACAGATGACAGTTGACACTTGACACTCGACAGCATTTGAATTACAGACTTGAGATCGGAGTTTTACGAATTTCATTTAAAATCAATTAATGTATCAACACGATTGTTTCAAGCTATTTAAAGACATGTTGCTCTTTTTAAGTTTTTCCTGTAAATTGTATATATAAAAACAAGTGTTGCGATGCTTTCACTGCTGTATGATAGCTAAATTTTTGTATCATGTCAAATTTATCGTCATCCAGTAATAAAAATCATTCAAAAAAGGGTAACAGTGGAAGAGAACGCGATAAAAATAGGTCTGTTGCTTCAGAATCCGGATCTAGTCAGTGCGATACTCCTCCATTATCAGAAAAGGTAAGCAAAATCGTGGGAATAAAAGTAAAAGATCGTTATAACACTTTTTCCACCACATCCGAAACTTTTTCCCCGCTTCTAAGGATTGCATGTTTTTAATATAATTAAACGTAATGTAAAAAGTAAAAAAGTAACCTTTGAAACAGTTGACATTTAATGAGATAACACAATTACAGTAGTCTCTAGACGAACCTTATTTTATTTTAAGTCTAAATTAACTCTCAAATGTTTTTTATTCTAGGATGGTGGTGTACATGGGAAGTTTGCAGGAGTGGGGGCTGACTCAATACTGTGCATTGCGGAGCAGGTGGCTGCAGAGCTCACAGGAGAGGCTGTTGTCAACTTGGCAGAGGATGTCAGCTATAAATTACGTCAAACAATATCTGTAAGATATATTTAATACCAAAACTAATCTGAATTATTTTCAGCTTAGATAAATTGTAATGTTGAAAGTTGTGAAATAAAAGTTATTCCTCTAAAGCATTCTTTTGTCCATAACTTATTACAGTTACATTTATTATTAACAGTAGAAGTCAATATTATTGTAAACTAGCATTTGATACACATAATTTAGAAAAAAACATAGTAGCCTATGAGTTTTCCAAGACTGTTTTACATTTGTGCCAAATTTTATTGGAATCTATTAAGTTTTGGAGATAGTCCATCCAAACTTTTTATTATTACCAGTACCACATTTATATTATTACCAGTACCACATGTTTGTGGTGTTGCGGATGTCCATGGGCGACGTTGACCACCTTGGTGTTCACGCCGCTCGTTTGCCCCCTTTTACTATAAAAAAAAACATTTATACACAACTTACATATTTTAATTTCAGACAATCGCATTACACAGTGAAATGATGAAGAAAAGCCGTGTTGACACTTGGGATGTCAACACGGTGTTAAAACTTTCTGATACAAGTCCATGTATTGGGACCACAAATAATGTTTATGTTCCACTCGGGGAAGAAAAATTGTGTTTTCAAACTGTAAGTAATGTTTATATTTGTTTTCAAATGCAGAATACTCTCTAATTGCGGAAAACAAGGTATTTTTTTTTATTTTAAAATGATAAGCAACAACAAAAATATCAATTAGGATAATATTGCATATCAAATGTGAGAATTTTTTTATAAAGTTAACTGCATTGTTTGTATAATGTAATATATAATAATTATATTTATAAATTGGTAGATCTTAAACATCTTGCATCATTGTGCCAGCCAGTGCAATATCACGACCACACAGAAGTAAAGTGGAAACAATTCTGCGTTTCGTCTGATAAGTGTTCTCTTTACTCTTTCCACCCACTCCCATATAAGTAAAGGTTGGAAAGGGGATGTGGATTTTGTGGATGGGATGCATATATGTGAGATGTATCGGATTTTGTAGAGGATGGGATGCATAGATGGGAGAAATATCTTCTGTATGTCCCCAACCATGTTGATTATAGATAGATCATCTACATAGAGCTTACTTCGTTATTTTGACTGATGGTGGCATAAGGCAAAAAGGCATTGCCAGTCAATGATATAGGCTTAGTACTAGATGTTACAATAATAATATGATATTTTTTGATGTAGTTTTTTTACATTTTTTGATACTGCAGGAGGGGGGTTAGCTAATCCTTTGGCGAATAATGCTAAACTGTAGTATATTTTTCAGGAAAAGATATTAAATGTGACTGAATATGCCATGACCAGCCAGTCGTATGTCTTCTCTACAGTACCCTCGGTGACAGTGGAATGGATAACTGATGATAGAAGTTTAAGTAGCAACAGTAATATAAGCTTTAATTTACATAATTACTATACTAATGTCGCCAGAGGTTTGTATTTTCTTTTATGTATAACTTTTTAAATAAAATAGTAAGTAGCCAACATTATTATGGCTAATATTTTTAGATTGACATGTACATTATTGAATTAATATTTGTTTACCTTCCATTTTATTAATTGTAAATGCAAAAGTTTAGATGGATGGATGGAATGAATGAACAGATCTTGATTACTTTGGTTTTGTTTTTTTTTTTGGTTTTTCATTCTTAGTCATGTTAAAACATTTGTTTTTTTTTATTATAATGTTGTGTTAGCCTGTAAGTGTATCCATGATATTGTGTTTTAGTTATAATTATATTTCTTTATCAAACATAACTTATTTCATGTGATATGTTGGCTTCCTATTGTAAATAAATAGACATTTGGCATAAATGTAGAGGATAGTCTGTAAGAACACTTGGGCTACTTACATTTGTTTTTTTTTAATTCTTGAAGCTTAAAAACCCGAAGTTATTTTTCTCTACTTTCCATTGATTTTTAGAACATCTTTTACGCACATATCAATTGTTTATTTATATTCTTTTCTTTTCCAGCAATATTAAATTTAAAGAAGAAACCAAAACAAATAGCAGTAGAGGATTTAATGACGAATACAAGGATTGGTCCAATATTTCCGAACCTGTTCAATTTGGCCGTGTTGGTATTGAATGATGACAACCTAAAAGCACTTAATGTCCCCGCTAAGAAACCTCTGCAGTCAAATGTATTAGATATGGTGGACGCTTTATGTTCGAATCCTTGCAGTTTAGATACTAATATACAGCAACAAGTAAGTAAATGATTTTCTTATATTTTGGTGTGTTTTAATTTTAACACACTTTAATAATTCCATTATTCCTTTTATGATGAAATTTGTTACTCCGTACCACAATTATATTTACAATTTGTATTGTGTCAAGGAATAGGGAAATAAACTCATTAATATTGTAAATGGTAAAGTTTGGATGGATGGATGGATGTTTGTTACTACTTATCTCCAGAACAAAGGATGTCACTGTTTGACGTTCATATTGAACTTAGCCTAGAAAAACACTTGGCTACTTGATTTTTTGTTTTAAATTCCGTCCGAACAAAGTGGCGGGGGACACCTAGTATCTGAAAAGATATTTTAACGTACGATAGGAGATGAATGAAACAGCAGTGACGTAATTTAATAATAAACTACTTTATACAATATTTTTAAAAAACTAAATCTTTATTTCTACATACCTGACAGTATTTTACTAAGATAAATGCGAAAGTTTGGATGGATGAATATTTGTTACCAGTTAACTCCAGAATTGCTGCATTGATATGGATGAAATTTGGTATAGATGTAGTTTAGAAGAACGATAAGGCGACCAAATATATTTTTTTCATTCCACGCATATAGTTAGAAATTTATTATGATCTGTACAAACTTTATAACATATTTGACACAGTTCCAGAGATTATTTCCAGTGATGGTGTCAAATATACTAGGCAATGGATCCCTTGCAGAGAAAATGGTCGCTATTTTAACTAAAATCACACGTACCTGGCCCTCGTTTATAGCTATTGGTAAGGTTTTTTACATTTCAATAGAATTTATTAAATGAATTGTTTTTTTTTTTTAGGTTAAAGAGCAATAGATTTTATATTTTTTCATAGATACAATGACCCTTTTCATATATTTTGTTCATCATCATCAACTTACCCTTATCCCTAAGGAGGGTCGGCACAGTATACTGCTCTTCCATACATTTCTATCAGACATTATCTGAATCCACTTTCCTAAACATATCCTTTTTCTCATAGTCCATCCATACTTTTTTTGGACTTCATCCTTTTTTGTAGCCATCCACATTTAATCTTAACACTTTCTGTTTTATGTCTCCATCCTCTCGTTTGTTATTTTAAATATTGGAACCGATTTTACCTGAGTTTTAGAAAGCTAGTACGATAATTATATTGTACTAGCTTTTAAAAGTTATTACATTAGTAATAACTTTCAGGTGAGAGTATTCTGTTCGACTACCTGTCGCAAGGCAGCAAGGAGCGGCTGACCGCGCCCATGATCCGCTGCGTGTCGGCGCTGGGGCGGCGCGCGCTGCTCGCCTGCCTCGCGCACCACCTCGACCACCTCGACACGCTGCTGCCTGCCCACCCCGACCTGCGCGACACCATACTTGTAACTATAACGGCTTCTTCCGTTTACCTAACCAGTTAGGAAACAAGATTTTTTTCCGTTTTCCTAACCGGTAGGGTGCGTATACTTTTCTATTTTCCGGGACTTTTATTACTATTACTGTTATTAATTGCATTTTTTGCTTACCGGAGCCCTAACTTTAGTAGTTTCTCGCCTTATGAATATAAAAAAAATAAAAAAATTGTACATTGGCAAGATAAATTCCGGGACTTAAAACATAAAAATTGTGACCAAACGTAAAATGTCAATTAGTTCGATATTAAATTGCGCTGTTTGGTCTTGAAATCGAAAGCTGGTCGTTTTAACATGAGATTGAGGGCATGAAACTAGCAAATTGTACCCACTCTAGCAATAAAACTTGACTGGTTACGAAAACGGAAAAAATCTTGTTACCTAACTGGTTAGGTAAACGGAACAAGCCACTATAACACAACACTATACTTTGTCTAAATAACATAGATTAGTTTGACAATTCATTTCAAATTTAGTAGGGATGGGTTATGTAATCAATCATGAATCTTATCGATTTTCGATTTTTATTATAGAAGTTAGAATCGATAGATTCATAGTCATAACTTATGAATTAAAAAAAAGACACTGTTTTCTCAAATAAATAATGACCATAACAATTAATGAGAGTAAATAAATGTTTATTAGTACTACAGCCATACGTAATCGAATTGGATTTCGCTATTATTTCTGTCATCGCTAAATTCTCTACACTATAATCAATACTAGAACTGTCCTCTAGATTAGTTAATAAGAAAATAATAATTGTTGTTGATTTCGATAATTATTTAAACCGGATCGATAGTTCATAATTGTTTGCTGCGTGTTTGCTCGTCGCTACGATACCTGTCTATTAAGTACGTCATTTGCCTTCAAACAAATTGAATTCGATACTTCATATGCGTCATTTATCAAACTAATTTCTCTTATTTAGACAAACTATATGAACAACACCTTCACTATATAGACATGACATAATCAACATTCTAAGGGGCTGTCCCACCACTGGCTGACAGAGGGTCAGATAGCTAAAAAATGACGTATATAAGGGATGCGGCGATGAGAGGAAGTTCGAGTTCCGACGGCCGGCTTTTTTGTAGTAACATTTATTTTATTTGTAGGATGCGTCGACTTGTTTATTAAGATCTGAGCCCACCACATTCCTGGAAGACTTTGTGACAACGGAGTACACTCTATACGAGATGCTAGGAGACTCTATAATGCCGCGAAGGACTCTATTCCCTTATAAAGGTACTGTTTTATTGCAATATTTTAAATTACCTATTATTTGCATCTAGTCCTCGTGAAATTAAAAAAAAAAAACAACAAATATAGTTGTTACTCAATGATAAGCTTTTTATTGGTGAAAGAATTTTGGTCCACCAGTTTTCCTCCTTAATGTTAGGATAGATTTATTTAAATAGATTTGACATAATCTGGTTAATATCTAGAAATATTATGGCAGAGTAACTAAGCTATAATTAAATTTGATGGTAAAATATTGATTTTTAGTTAAGTAAATGACTTTAAAAGAGTTTTGTTTTTAAATTAATAACATGATGAATAAATGTCGACTGCACGCATAAATACCAACTTTACAGGCAAACATTTTTTTTTAGGGTTTTAACACTATCTGTAATGTATAAGTTTTTTTTTATAGTAACAGTGCCATGTGAAGAAACGACAGAGAAATCACCAGAAGAAGAATTCTCCTTCTTACCTCTAAGACCACCGATTATTGTGAAAGGCGCTAAACTAAGATTGTTGCCAGTAACAAAAAACGTTAAAATCCACCATAGAGACGAAGTATTCGAACCGTGCAATTTTACCATAGACAAACCTCGTATCTTTTTAAAAATAAACAACTGCAGATCCAAGGATATACCACAGACAATATACCCAGAGAGGAATCATATCAGTGTTGCCAGGCCCGGTGCGGTCGTGTGCAGTGGAGTTTTCCATAGATTTAAGTACAGACTGAAACAGAGCAATAATACATTTCCAATATATGGAGTGTATATGTTATAACAGTATAAGTATAATTATTTATTTAATTGAACGTGTTTTATTTTACCTTACCAGTTTTCCACATCTATACTAATTAAAGCGTAAAGATGCTTCTTTATGTAGGTTGTCAGCAATCACAGCACATTTTTGAACAATTATTTCTTTAAAACCTACGTTACTTACGACACGAAGGTTAGATGGATGGATGTTTGTTAGTTTGTAACCTAATCTGCTAAACGGATCTCGATGAAATGCATAGACAAAGAGGATCGTCTAGAAGAACACGTAGGCTACCCCTTTTTTTAATCCATTAGAAAGGAGTCGCGGGTGAGAGCTAGTATGTTATAATATCTTCACGCCAAACATAGTACTTTGGCTGCAGAGGCTCATACATTTATACTAACAAAAATATTGTTATAACGCCCTGGGCAAACCATGACGCCGTCTTTTACTAACTTTGGAAGGGGTGGTTTACTGACTTATGAGAACCTGTGCAGATCTGTGACGCCCTGGGCGGTCGCCCAACAGCGCCCTACTCTAACGCTAGTATTGAATAACAATAATTACATTCTTAGTTCCTGGCGCCAAGCGCCTGCGATAATTAATTGCATAATCACGTAAAAGACATTAGCTATTGTATTTTATATGCAATAAATATAGAATCAATTAAACTTATTAATATCCATTGCAACACGCCGCATGACCTGTATTTATAAGGTTTGTAACACACAATATTGAATTGTTAGAAATCGATATAACGACAAAAACGCCCAAAAGAACGTTGTCATTTTGCTTTAGAGGATTTTATAACCGGGCAAAGGGTTTCGCTTGCGAATTCGTCCGCAAGAAATTAAAAAATTAAATACTATGTGTTTGTATGTAACAAACTCAACTTTAGGATCGATTTTAAAGAATCGTACATAGTTAAAAATATACAATTAAATTATTACGAGAATTTTTATTTTTACCGCGCGAACAAAGTCGCGAGGGAGAACTAATATGCAATATTTCAAAATGGTGTGATTGCTAAAAGGGTTTGTGTGCAAGAATCCTTAGATATTAGATACATAAATGTTTAATATCAAAATAATAAGAAAAGTATAAGCTTTTAAGTATGATGTAATGCAGGAATTTATTTATGAATGCAAACACATCTATATTAATTATTATTGTTTTATAATTTTATACATATCGACGTCTTTGTATTCGAGGATGGATATTACGGTTTTCCTGATAAGTTCTTTTAGAATGTTGATCTGGAAATTTTGCATTTTTAAAAGAAAAATTGTGATATATAATCTGTGATCCCGTATATCCGCGAAAACGGATACCCGGCACATCTGGGCCTAGGTTATAAAGCTAGAGACACGCTCAGTTAGAAACGATCGTCTGTAGGGAGTATAATCTATGTTTGTCATCTATTAAAGTTTAACAGATTAGTAAACGTGGTTGTCCTCGCTCATGTTCAACTATAGTTTAAAAAAAAATTAAAAAGTTTCATTCAACAATTTTTTTTAGTTCTAATCTTATAAATATCTTTTACTAACAGTTATGCCACAGCCATCAAAAACGTATCCATAATTAAGATAATTTCTGTCACCAAGAAGGTTAGATTTGGGCATTATTATAAAACTGTATTCGACTGGAAAACATTGGCGCCAAACGTAAGGCACACCTGTGGGCTTACGTCAGTGTAGGCGTCGCACTTGTTCGACCGTATTAGGGTTGTCGACCAGAAATTCGGCAATAAAGCATTATTCTCAGTCGTGTTACACGTTTAAGGTTTAGGACTGGAATGTTGCATTTATAAACAATTTCAAATTTCGTCTCAATTTGTTTATCACCCAAATAAGGTAGATTTAATCGAGTCCATCGGTGGGGAATACATGGCTTTCGATAAACATTTCATCGACTGTCATATAAACATATTCTGGGATTATTGAAATGAGTTTGCTGTACGGTTTGTACTGTGTGTGATCTATGTTAATAATTAAGAACAAAATCTTCGTTTCAATTATTGTTTGAAATTATTTTTTTTGGTATTAACATATTTTTGACAACCCTATTGAGATAGACACCGTCGTGCGCCGTCTAGACGCGCCCGTGTCGCCTTTCGTTTACTCCTTTGATAATGCGTAATTTTTAAGAAAACATTCTATTATCCGTTTATGGAAATTATCTTCTAGTTGTCTAAATTACTTCCTATGTTTACCGTTTGTTGTTTGTCTTTTATGAAGCGAAAACCAGAATATCGTGTTGTCTTAAATATTCGTTTTTAGTGACATAAATTATAAGAAAAAGTACACTACGATAAATCAGAGTACAATTAAAAATATCTATACCATAGACAAAAGCTGTTAAAACAGTTTTCAGTCCGTGTTTTATTTGCTACATACAAAAAACATCCGCATTAAGTTATTCATGCTAATTCGATAAATTGAATATGCAATACGGACGAAACATTTTTTGCATTCAAAAATGTTTCTGGATGATTGAAGAGGATATTGTTGTGGCAGTTTCGGCGACGGGCGTGGGTTTTGACAACGGAAGAGGTTTGCTCTACGTCTGCATTACGGACAGGTAAGAAAAATGTATCCATTGTTGACTCGCGTTGAGGAAGCAAATTGTAGGCGAAGCGAATATTTGGGATGCAGTTTTGCATCTTTGTTAGTTTGACTTAAATGGGCGTATATATAGCTTTCGTGGCCGTGTGAAACTAGCATTATTTTTATAGGCGTTTGTTTTGGTTATTGATAGTTCTAAAGCCGCCGCAGATCAATATGCAATGTTGTGTCGATTGCGTTGGCGGAGCGTTCGCACGGTGCTTTCTCTATTTTTACCCTGACCGCAAAATATCATCTCTGTCGGCTAGCGTCTCGCGATCGCTAAAACAATCATGCAAAAGTGAACAATTCAGTTAAAAACTTCGTGTCCAAAATATTAAAAAAAGCGGGTTTAAAAATAGTAATGTTGAGTTTATCTTTGAAGACTATTCGTTAACTAAGATTGGTGGTTGTGAGGACACCATCACTATTTGGTTTTATATTGTAGATTACTATAGGTTACAAAACGTGTCATGATCACAGATTAATTATCTTCAGAGATTTTGAGTAACGGTGGAGAAGGGAATAAAGGGTGGTTTACAAAACATAAATGTAGACATTGTTCTTTGCGATGTTCTGTAAATGATTTAGTTAGTCTTGTTGCCTGTTGCATAACCCTTGTAGCATTCGATGCGTCCATCAGAGGGAACCGTATTAAATGGTCTGCGGTGTGTAAGTATGACGCACGCCGTCAATGCTCGAACAACGCGAAATTTTACATCCATCCACATATCCGTATCCATACAAATAGACGATACGAGGTACATCTATGTTAAAATAAATAAGCTTACATTTTACACATCTTACAAGGAAAATAAATCATACTTTTTAATTTTACTAATATTATCGCATTTCTAATATTAGTAGAATTAATAATTTCAGATGGATGGATGTTTGTTAGACTTTGTAGCCTAATCGGCGGAACGGATCTCGATATAATTTGGCATACATGTAGAGCATAGTCTGGAAGGACATATAGGCTTTCTTTTTTTATTCCACGCCAACTGAGTCGTGGACGAAAGCTGTCATCATCATCATCTCCCCTGCCTTATCCTACTCCCTTAGGGTCGGCGCACCGGGTTTTCGTTCTCCAAAGCATTCTATCATCCGTCATCTCAGTCATCACTCCCTTCTTGATCATGTCACCTTTCACGCAATCCATCTCTTTCTAGGTCTTTCGCGGGCGAAAGCTGTAAGTAATAAAATTAAGCGCTAAGGTAAATTCTATTTGATTTAGCTAAGGTCTGTAATACTTAACGTAAAACTTCATAGAATATAACTGCATCAGTACATCTTGATGTTTTCTTGATTACTATCTTACCCCTAATACAATAGTTATTTCAGTAATCACTTACTTCAAGCTCAGAGTTTCGATAAGAATGTACCTGGATCTGGTCGTTTTATGTCGTGACCCGACCCATATGGATTCACTCTCGATTTGCGTCAGTCGATGTATGCATTCACAAAGTTCGCTTCACTGACCCAAGATAACGCTTCGCCTCGATCCGTGCCGAAATTTGCATAACTATAAATACTTTTATACGTTCATAAAATGTTGGGAATCATATTCTATTCAATAACAGTTTATCGAATCTGTCTTAAAATTAGCGATCTGTTTAAGTTTTGTACGGGAGAAATATGGCAATGTTTTATTTAACATGTCAGTTACTTTATGAAGTAATACTTTTAGGTTATGCTTTAATTCCATAATAACGGATAATATTATTCAAATCGTATCCAGTTTTAGCATTACTAAACCATAAGCGAGATTTTTACGGCATCCAGTAACTGCCATAGGACCTTCATACTTAGTACTGAACCCTTTCAGAATGATTTATATTTTAAGATATTTTACATGAATAAATCTAAACATCTCATAAGACTGAACAATGTTTTTTTTTAAAGATAAAATATATTACTCGAAAGTAATAAGTAATAATAAAAAAAGAAGAATTAGTTTAGTATCTAGGCATTTATTATTATTTGTAATCTGGAAATCAATAAAGGCTCTTTAATTTTATTTTACTTTATTTTATTTTATTTATTTATTTAATTGAACGCATCATGTCTTTAATAAGTTGTTACAAATGCGATGACGTCACTAACTGTATATTTTTCCTACAAACCCATCAATCAGTTACCTCAGCATGGAAATAATGAATACACAATGTTTCCACAATCAAGGTTAAATGAAAACGGGGAAACCCGGATGGGTGTGTCACTACCATAATTAACTATCGCAGCGGTTAACGCATCTCTGTACTAATAGGAAATACTACAATATTGAAAACTATGTTATAGTTTGTCCCAAATCTATACTAATATAATAAAACGTAAACACACACTACTTCGTGGCATAAGGATGTCAGCATTCGGAGCATATTTTTGAATAATTTTTTCTTTAATAAAAACCCCTACATTTAGACATGCTTTAGGAAATATTA